TCAGTTTCTTTATAACAGTTATCATTCCAAAAAAAAAAAAAAAACATATATATATACTTTACTAATCCGTGATTTACTATTTTTAATAAATAATTTAAGACACATTTATAAACATTGCTTAAATTGGTATTTTACATTGTTTATATTATTTTTTTAAATTAATAATACCTGACTAGAATATTTTCATAGTTAGAACGGTGCTATAAATGCCACTATTATTGGCATTGGAAGTAATGACTGTAATCTCATTGTTGCATTTAGCAGTTCTAGACATTATTCAATTTAGCGTATTTGAACAGTACCATGAACAATGAAGCAAAGGCACTTGCAATATTATAAATATGATTGATGATATGATAACTTTTCATATTTGACACCATTACTCTTATTCAAATCAATACTTTTAGCAATATTTATTACTTCAATATAATAAATATTAGTAAAAGTATTACCGTTAAGTTATTGCTGTTCTCTAGCTAATTGTAAAGTCTATATTTGTAGACAAACAGACTGCTATCAGTATTATTATTTTTTAACGGAGAAAATTTTGAGCGTTATTAAACGTACCGCACGAAACTGTTCCCTCGAACAATGGTACAGAAGGAAGATTGAGTAGTGTCTTAAGAGACATTGATGTAAAAAAAGCAACTTCAAGTGAAGCGTTCAATGTATGCGAGACTACTGATAACAATTCTCAGGTTTTTGTACTTAATATTGTACTTTACTCTCTAAAAAGTATAATAAATATGATAACGTGAATTTTACTAAGTTAAATTAAATATGCTAACGTGAATTTTACTAAGTTAAATTATCATACTTCTTTAAAAAATAACTTTTAGCAAAAAATCACTTGCTTTCTGGGATCTTTACTTTCTGGCAACACTGAGCACTGTTATCTCTGCAAATGCTGTTCAAGTACACGCTTACCATCAATTTTGATTAAGAGGTAATATGCAAATCAGGAGTATCCATCTTAACTTATTTATTCTTGTATTAACTAATCTGTAATAATTTTCCATTTTGTTCAAATTTTTATGCTATTGTTTAATTCTCTTTAATTTGTTTCATATCAAAAATTTCATCCCTTGATGCAGTCTTACTTTTTTTGAAGCTAAAACATGGATTTATGAGTAATTAATGTAAGGTTGTTATTATAAGTGTTGTTGATTATAATTTAATTAAGCACAACAAAATTCGATTAGGAACTTGAAATTCGTATTCTAAAATGATATGGAATTAATTATGCATTGCATTATGGGGCTGTAATTTGTGTCTGCGATGAATGCTTCTCAATTATGAATAGATGATTTGAATTTAATTAATTTTCATAGTTTAAAAAATCTAAACGGAACAATTGCTTTAATTGAACAAGTCAATGGCACACTCCCATCTTGGAACGTTCCAATTAATAAGCAGTCAGCTGAATGGATGACAGTTAGTTTAAGTGTCGAAGGTCAGACAATTTTCATATTTTCTTACTACTAATTTATTGCACCGTCTTTATAAATAAAGTGGAAAAACCGAAATATAGATCGACTCTATTTCGACTTGGTTTTTTTTGATTGATTTATTTATTTTTATTTGTTTTGATCTGATTTATTTATTTTCGATGTTTAATTCTATCACGCATTAAGATATCATTAATTTATCAGCAATTATTATAAGTCACATATTTTAAGCTTACTATAGTGCCACATAGAGAATCAACAATATTTTACAGGTAATAACGATGTGGAAGTTGATCTCTACAGCAGTTTTGTGAACGGTTAGTTGTATTATTATGCAAGTGCTACTGAAAATGAGTTAATTTTTCATACATATATTTGTAAAAGGCAACTGAAAATCACTAAAATGGATTATTTAAAAAAAATCTTTTGAAAAGTATTCATCTCAAATTTAAAATTTAGAGCTTATAATAATGCAAAATTTTTAAAAGAAAAAGCTCAGCATGATCAGATAAAACTAATTTTAGTGCAAGAAGTTTAAAATTTTGATAAAAAGTTTTAAAAAAGATCAAAAACAGATTAACTAATGGTTACTTAGCTTGTTACAGTTTTGGTTAATTAAACAATGATATTTTTGTATTATTAAATACTTCATTATTACTTTTGTATTATTATCAAAGTTTAGGGTACTTTGCTGATTTACAAATGTTAACTTACAATTATTCCAAACTGTACAATGAAATAGTGGTTATGAGTGGTGCAATTTATGATTTCAACGATGATGGTGTGGCCGATGCAGAACAGCTCTCATTATTGCAACGGTCATTATACTTGTAATTATCATTCCGCCTTCTGTTATCAATTATCACATTCAATACTTTCCACAAATGCAAGACATCAAGATATTTTTTGCCTTTTATATCTATTAGAATTTACAAAACTTACACATTTTTCACATCTCAAAAAACTATTTTATAATGCGTTATTTCTTATTCCTTTGAAAAGTACAACCAGCAGTGAAAGATCTCAAAGTTTAATTTCATATCTATCGATGAATTAATTTAAAGTAAAAGTATCAAAGTGGAATTCTATGAACTCACGTGTTCATTTAGAATAAGAATGGCTTACGCTCTGTATGACAAACAAATTGTAGACTGTAGTGATAGTAGCGAAAGTAGAGTTTTCAAAGGAAAATTTTGATTTTAGACGTAACTTTTAAGCTAACAAAAATACTGAAAAAAAATGTTAAAAAGCTTTCAGTCAAAGGCCTAGCCATATCTTTCGTATTTTGTTTCGCTGTGAGGACGCAAAATGGCTGAGAAACGAATTGCAGTGCGAGAAGAGTAATTCTATTCGAGCTTTGCCACTGATCTTACCAAATGTTGGCAAAGACTATAACTGTTTGGTAAGATTAAATGCATATTTTTTGATCTAAATTTTATCATAGTACAGTATAGTATCAAAGTTGAGTTCATTTTTCTATTCCATAAATGAGATAAAAAATATATGCATAGGGCACTGCTAGCAGTTTAAATTAACAACAGTGTTCAATTTTAAACCTACTTTTCTATGATATTTTATTTAAATTACTTAAAATTAAAGCAAAGTTTAGTATTTTGAGCTTTTATTTCTTTGATATATCAGTCGCAGCAATGAGTGACAGGAGGGAGATTCACTTTGGAATTCAGAATTAGAAAATCACAAAAACTAGCATGCCTCTTGTTGGAAAATCCTTTGAAAATATTTTTTAATTTTTTTCGCATTATGAAGTAATCATAATTGAATTTTATTAAAGGTAAACTGCTAGTGTTTTTTTAAATTTCTTCTCTTCGATATTATTCAGACATATCTGCAGTGAATCGTAATAGATTAATACTATTGTATTCCTTTTTCTTCAGAATTCGTCAGCCTATCTTAGTGCAAACATTGCGAGGCTCAGAGACATTGAGCTTCTTACGGGTTTAGAATTTTTTTCAACTGTGCTCATTTCTGACAGTCAAATATACGATGAAGAATTCTCAATAACTTCGCGGACAATAATGCCAGAACATTTATGGTAAAAGGATGGAAGTAAATAAAAAATTTCGAATTTGTAAAGTTACAATAATAATATATACGAAGCTTAGCTGATCACATATACCGTCTATGGAAAATTTAAGAATCTTATCAGTACTTTCGGAGTCAATAAGACTATTCTCGAAGTTATTCATTAATATAATCCAATCTCCGATTAGTAAAAAATGATCATAACATCAAGAATGTATATATAAAATTTATTTACCTCAATTTTAGTAAAATGAAACTGATTGAAAAATCAAATAATATTAGCTCCTAAACAAAGGATCTTCGTTAATTTTCAACACTCATCTTAATAATTATTTGTAATGTTGGCTTTTATCTGCGCTAATTTTGAAACGTAGCAAGCTAACATAACAATTTTGACGCTATAATTATTTTTATGATAAATATCAATTGCAATGAAGCAATCAAAAATATGAAAATATATTTGATGGTAAATTGTATCATATCACTTAAAATTGATCTATTCTTATCATTATACATATAACAATTATCAATTATGGTAGCAACAGTATAAAAAATGATGATCACGCAATCCATCACGTATCACTACCAACCTCATTTTTATTACGCACTGAAACGAACAATATCAACCGTTATATAAAATAAAGCCATTGACAACTGTTACTCATAAACAGTTATTACCAACAACGATTATAACATTTAAGAAATTTCAATTGAAACCTATAAATGAAACGATAATAAATGCTGACGAAAATAGAAACTGACAGAGCAGTTCTCTCATGATTCATTTTTTTTTCATAATTGAAATAACTGAAAGTAACACATACGTTAACAATATAAACGTAAAAATATGATTCACAAGGCTGGTTCTTTCTGGGTCTGGATTGTATATCAATGAATATAAGACAAAATGTAACAGGAGAGTGAACAAATATTGGCTCTAGACTTAATGTTCTTGCAATTATTTTTATCCTTTACTATACTAATGCTTTAAAAGTGTCAAATCCTATTTATCAACTTTATAAATAATTAATGTGCATAAGAATTGTGAGAGTTTTCCTTAGCGAAAAAAATACATCATGCTGCATTACAGATCTGACTTCCATGAACTTAGTAGCTTAACTATGTCTAGTGTTAGAACAATCGTTCACTTTCATAGAAGATAGACAATATACTTTCTGGGATTAGGCTTTTTCAACATAATTCAGAATCTGAAAGACTCAGCTTCACTCCCATGCTATTAATTTTAAGATGCGGTTTCATGAAGACGGAAAGCATAAATCAGAATATGAAGTAGACGTAATTGCCTACTTTATACTTCATATTCAGCAGCAGTTGGTGACTTTACTTATGGTCAAAGAATATTCAGAGCCAAAGAATTTGAGAGATGCAAGTCACTCAGAGTCAGAGAGATCTTGCATTCATTTCACACTTCCTGAATAAGAACGTGCAACTTAAAATCAACAAAAATACTACAAAAAATAAAAAATGTCTAAAAATTTTAGACAACTTTATACAATTTTTTTTAATCACAACTATTATTGTTGAAAAAGTGGTTTTGTTGTTTCATATTCCGATAAATCAGTTCATTTTTTTCTTACTACAATATTAAAAAGATGGTAGAGCACGATCATAAATTTATATAATCTTATATACCTCACCTTATTACCAAAAAAGTGATTTCACGTATAGATAATTAGAATTCAGCCAATTTGGTAAAGTTACTTATCTCTTGCTAATGAAAAATGGAAAAAATATCCCCAATCTACTAAAAGATAATTGCAATTACCAGTGATCTATGAGTAAACCAAAAGTTTCATTTGTCAGTAGAAAATCTCTAACAAATAAAGTAAATCACTTTGAAATGAATCTGCATGAAAAGTAAAAATTGCTCAAAATGAATCAAATTCATGTAAAATGAAACTGCAAAATTACTTAGAAGCAAAAAAACATAGCTGAGAGCAAGCAACTTACTACAGTGGCCATATTGCAGAAGAAGAAAACAAAAAGTAATAAAGTAGTGTTGGATGGAAATGAATTAATTTCAAAGACAATCATCTTGGCTTTGCTTCGACATCTGTAATTTTTCTAACTACTACAATACTTTCAGGCTTTGAAATCTGTCGTTCCTTCAACTCATTCATATAAGAAGCGGCGATAGCTAGCTGAGTACCATTTGCATTGAATGAAACGCTCATAATGCTAGTCGGAAACCGGAAAAAAAGAGGGATTTAAGCGATGAAATTCAAAGTTCATGCATGAGTGTAAAAGAACAGTATTTTGATCTAATATTTAAAATGGTAGTCTTTTTTTTTTAAATAATCGAATTTGAATATAAAAACAAACTTGTGCAGTTGGCATATGCGCTTCCGATTGAAAGGATCCCAAAAATTAACGAGAGCATCAGATCCTGTAGAAAAATATCAAAAGTTGAATTCTTTTATTCAAGTTATAGATAAAGCAAAAATCTTCACATTCTGCTCAAAATATAATGAACCTCCAGTAACAAATGTGTTATGTAGAGGATGGAAATCGATACAGTTTACTGGATATATCGTTTCAGCACCCGACTGATCTTTTTCTCGGTGACATTTGAAAGCATACTTGTTTTTCTGTACTTCAGCTGACATATCAAAATACTCTACAGCGACACGTCCTTCAATTGAAGCAACAACAAATGCTTCACCATTGGGAAAACATTTCACAGATCGGATTTGAAACTTAAAACAGAGAGCATTTCAGTAAGCACTGCCCATATTGATTACAGAAAATAAAATGTAATATTAAAATGTGCAGTAGTATGCGCTGCATTTGTAAACAGTCAAAGACAATATAATTTGAAAAGTAAGTAAAAGAAATTTCAGTGAGAAATGACAAAAATTGTAAATGCCTTTAAAGGACTATCACGTATTTGTTCGGGTTCACCAAGGTTGCGAACATCCCAAATAAATATTTTACGACTGCTCGTACCAACAAGAACTCGATTATCATGGCAATCCAGAGCATAAACTTTATCTCCATTATTTCCAAAGCCAGCTGAACTTTTGGATCGCGTATCCCACAACTGATAAATAATGTAGACTAAATAAATTTGACAGGGAATCAATAAACATATATAAAGTAACGAAAGCTTTTAACAAATACGCTATTTCTATCAGCCAGAACCGCAGTTTATAGATAATAACTATCAGAATAACTACAAAAAAATACAACCAAACCTGAAAATGCAGATTTGCATTACAAAATATTTGATTGGTACTACACTCACCATTATAGAAGAATCCCAACTTCCAGAAACAATTAAATTATGCTGTTTGCTGTATTCAAGACATCTCACAGGAGCTTTATGATGACCAATAATAAACTCTTCACCGCTTTCAATATTATAAATTTTGATCAAGCTATCAAGGCCACCACTAGCAATATCCTTGTTACTCTACAAAAACATCATTTAAATAAATAAACAACAGCAACATTCCAAAATTAATATGAAATTGGTAAATTTGGGGAAATCGAGTTTCACAGTAACTAACTGATTGCTACGAACTTTTGCAATCGATTTTCATGAAATAAGAACTTACAAAAAAAGCGCATGACAAAACAGGCTTAGAATGTGAATAAGATCGTTTTTCTAATGCTGTCACAGGACCAGCAGGAAAATTATACAAACGAACAAAACTATCCCAACTTGATACTGCTAACAGCTGACCGTTTTCATCTGGCGAGAACTGAAAAAACTTGTTGCTGGAACCGTAATCAAATCTCAGCTTCTTTATATCACAACAAATCATACAGTCATAATTTCAAATGTTTTGATACTGTGATGAATTTTTAAGAATAACAGAAATTTAATTATTAATAATCAAATATTATAAACTCCGGAAAACTTTTATGGAATTTGCAGAAAAAAGTACATAGCTCACTTATTTGCAGAGAAACTGCAAAATATCACAAGGTTAGTATAAAATAATCAAATTCAAACACTTCATAATAAACCTAAGAATTCATGAAAAACGGCAAAGATAACCTGAACTTTAGAAATCTGTGTGTCATTAGGATGCGGTATTGTGCCTTCTGTAGAGCCTCCAGCAAAATGGAACATTGCCTTTTCTAAAATCCATTTTGAAAATTTAAGTTATTTGACAGTTCAGTTAAACATAGCGATATTTCATCGGGAAACAAAGTAAAAAAATTGATATTAAAAACCAATACCGTAAAATGTACAAAATAAAAAGGAATGAGAAGCAAGAATGCATTTCGAAATTGAGAAATTGAGCGAATTGAAATTTCCAAATTCACATTTTGGATAATGAAAATAACCTCCACAAGTTAACCTCTCGAAATTCTAGACAACAGTTGCAGCTCTTTAGTACATTTTATTCATATTCAAATTAATCATATAAAAATTAGTTATGCAAAAATTTCTATTTGTATTTGTATTTTTAATTAATGTGCAGAAATTTTGAACTCATATTAATTCACTGTCTTTCCAGGTTCTGGTTGAACTTGCTTGTCTAACATAAGACAAATTGTTAAAAGTTTTATAGACTAATTTTTTCAGTACATCTATTTCTTTATGTCATGCTGAACTTAATCTGCAAAGTATGTACTTTATAATTTGAAAAGGTGACAGAATTTCTGATAGAAAACTGAAGAGTTTGTTATTGGCTATAGCGAAGCTCACGTAAGTCTTGAATACTGAAAATCTGGAAGGGAAAATTTCAAAATCAAACTTTTGTAGTAGAGTTTTATTATTTTGGCTAAATTTGAGTGATACTTTAATTAAAAAGTTAGAAGCAAATAAGTAAACCCTTCGAATTATGCATTTATGATTCAAATATTTAAGGAAAATATTAAAATTGTTGGAATATCAATTGTAGTATGTAAGTTTTTTGTCCACAAAACATAATATATTGCATAAAAAGTTTTCATCATTTTTTTTACCAAAATATTGCTGAGTACGGAATCAGACGAAGTTAAAATGGAGTCTGTCTTTGAGATCTTATCTTTGTTCTCTGATAAGCAAACTGATATGCTTAGATTATTCATTATTTTACATGTTAGTACTTCTTACGTTCAATAAGTTATAAGTCCGTCATTTAACTAATTACTTAAGAATTGTTCACGTTTATCGACGAATCATAGTTATGCAAACAAACTTGTATTCCATAAATATTTCAATCATAAATGCATAACTTGAATTTTTTTGATATGTACAACATATCAAAAAAATATTATGAGCGAATTGAGTTATAAGCTACGACGACATCCACTGCTAATATAATGTTTTTCTATTTTTTGATGAAAAAAATACATGTTTAATATAGATGCATATAAGTAATTGAATCTTTTCACTCATAGATATTTTTTATGCTTCAAATTATATATCAGTACTTAATTCTTTTTGATAAATATATGCAGAAAGTAATACTCCTCTCTTAGTCTTCTAGTAATGCTATGCAATGATTATTTGCTTAACAGTCTTGTACATATACTTAAATATCTTTTAGTTAGTCATAAGATTTTTGAAGCGGGAAAAATATGACTATTTTTTAAAAGTTTTTTGCGCCAATTTTGTTGTTGTTATGTATTTGCTAACAGTATTATTAGGATAGATTGGATTTTGCATTACATTCCTGTACTTCATGTGATTTCGGCGAGATGAGCACTTTATTACTTTCAGTATATTTTGTTTTTGTTATTCTAGAAATAATTTCCTCTTCAAATTTGTACTTTTACGTGTGATTTTTTGGCATGTATTTTTTTAGGAGCTTAATTTCATGAGGAATTATGAAGACAGTAGTTTGGATTAGCATAATTATAGTCTTAAATTACTGTAATTACTTTTTTTATCATTTTTTCAAGAGTCATCTTTTCTCCTCTTCCTAGTATCGTAATCCTCCTGCACTATATTTTTGTTTAAATACCTTTTCAAATTCTTTACTGACTAAATTCAGTAAAAACTCCGTCATCGTATCATGTATTCTTTACTTATCTTCAGTTGCAGGAAGTAAATTAGCGAATCGCTTATTCAGATGGAAACCAATAAAGAAATGTCGGAGGAATTTATAAAAGTCGTAAATTTCAATGGCGTGATTTACCATGTAATCAATTCTGGTGAAAATTCAGACTTAATAATTTACGTATCAAACGTTACTAGTGATGACTCTGTCGTTTCAAGAGAAAGCGAAAAAGGAGCAAGTCCAAATTCAGTCGACTTCGAAAAATTCGCCATCGATAGTTATGGTATTTACTT